TGATCAACTAGTTCCTGGAACTCGCATCTTCGCTTGTCTCGGTAATGTTCTTGGGCGCTACGCGCTCCGATCGACCCGACGATGGGAAAATTTTGCCCTTCGAGAGGTCTTTACTTATGCGCAATGATGGATTCAAGTGAGAATCCGAAACGTCAGACGAATAAAGATCTTGTTCCAGCGATCGCTTCTTCTTCTGATCAACATTCGTATTGCCATTTCTGGGAAGTCTAATCGTTTTTTTGCGAACTGACAGACGATGCTTCCCGATTGCAGGTCAAAACACTTTTAGTACAGGGACGAGGGAACGTGCTGCGTCGGTTCTTAAAAAATCATAATCCTGAACTGATCCTCCGCCCCTGGCAGGCTGACTGACCTTCACTGGCCTGTTAACAACAAGTCTGCCGCAGTCAAAAACAGTGCCTGACGTTCACGTCATAAAAACCTGTCCATAGTGCAATTATAGTATGGTTACTCCCTCCTCCTCCTCCTCCTCATCCTCCTCCTCCTCCTCCTCCTTTTTTGCATCTCTGCATAACCACCTTCCTTTTCCAGGTCTGTGTGCGTTTTGTGTCTGGCGTAGAGGGTTCCGCGGTCTTCTGTTTACGATCGCCCTTGCTGAAAGGCCTTTCGAATGCTCTATCGCATTCCTTTGGACTGCGAATTACACTGCCACCCCTGCACCGGAGGTTCGATGTGATTAGCATTCAGTCAGTCTTCGGTTTTCTGCGGATTCACTGACAGCCCTCAAGGCACGTTGCACGCGCATTCGGGTCAGATTTAAGGACGAGATCACCTGCAATTCCAGTTTAGTCATAGAGCTGTGCGGGGTGCTGTCAACTGCGGTCGCCTGAAAAGTTTCAGGTGGGAACTAGAGGGTCAGACGGAGTCCCATACTGCTGTCTTGAAATCAGACCAGGTCGATAATTGGCCTTGAAAGATGAAGTCGAGTGCGTTGCTCAGAGCTTCTAGTGCTTACTTCAGTGGCGAATAACTCGACGTCGGAGACATCGATCCCGGTGCAAATCACAGGCCCACCCAACTGCGGGATGGAGGCAAAGCAACTATGTCCGAGAGAGTACTCTGGACGAGGTTGGCTGAGCATGCGGCAGCAGTGAGTAGGAACGACGCCAACTTCCAAGTTGCGACGCATTCGACGGGACCCAGGCACACATTCAAGTTTGACGAGACAGAAATTCTTGCCAGAGGCGACAACCGCGTGAGCCGCTAACTGCTCCAGTCATGGTTTTCCGTTGCTCAATCAGTCAACAAACGCAACGACCTCCCCGCTCCATATTCGGCAATGAGACTTAGTCTAGGCAAAATAGTTAGCCGCGTGGAGGACGTACGGATTACCACTGATCCCGGTATCAATTTGGGCGAGCCAAATCATTCAAAACTCCACACGTATGACTAACTCCAGTAGTCAGCCACTCGGTGGCGTGCGATGAGCGTGGGAGCCGATCATCTTGACCAACATGCAGACGAATAGCAACGGCATACTTAAACACCTAGGCAGTCGAGCTGTGATGCACTCGGGAGCGGCCCGGCAACTACGTCCTATAAATATTGCAACACATGGACAATCCACTATTTTTATCTAACTCGGTCTCTGATTTTGGACTCGAGTGAGAATTAGAAACGTCAGGCTAATAAAGCACTTGTTTCAGTGATTGTGTTTCCTTCTCCGCGAATACTTCCTGGAACTCGCCTCTTTGCTTCTGTTCGGGTGTGGCTGTCTGCGACCGCAAATAATGCAAAAAAATGAATTTTATTCTCCGAATTTTTTAAAACAATAAATCGCTTGTCCCTTGGTTTCATGGTGGTGTACATCTGCTTATTTTCAATGGATATTTATAGAAACCGTGCATAAAAATATGCTTTATTTTACTCGTTTGGTACAAAAATACACTGTCTTTGTATTTTATACCATAAAAAGACCATTGTTCGATTTTTAAAAGTTTTTAAATATGAGATTTATATGACCATGTGATGTCCATACATGCAGCACTGCACATGTCCGTTTACCAATGCTCCTCATGAAATGCACAACATAGTCCACATCGATTGGAAGATTTTATGAACTCTATACACCACCTTCTTAAAGGCATAGAGGAATATATGATTTTTCTTACCCGGAAAACATGCGCCTTGTAGTCTGAAATCGTTAAACTCTAATGCGACCACAGATCAAGCAAAAATTATTCGTGAGTGGGGAAAATTTTTCAAAACCTAAATATACACTTTCTTCGGGCATAAAATATGAAGAGGGTGATATTTTCTACCCAAAGAACAAAAGAAGGTATATTTTTGGGCATGGCTTCTATGGGATATATTTATATTTATATGACCATCGAAAATCAATGTGAAAAGTGCATGCTACTTAAGTAGCCAATTTTTGCCGAGTGTGGTTTCTGCAGTAGGTCCAAAAGATGTATATTCAAAAGCGGACATCCTGGCGAGTCCGAAATATCATAGGATTATGCCGCACGGTGAGCAGTATTACAACCCCACCTAAGTAATGCTTCCTAATCGCAAACGCATTTCGGAATTTCAGCCAACATTTCACGAGATCGGTCAGGCATGGGAGTTGGCCAACGTCGTACCCATCCACAAGGATGCATCATGGCTATATCTTACCTACAACTGACCAGTCAGTATGGCATACATTTACTGCAAGCTGATGGGGAGGAGTTAGGAAATCAATTACGTCGCTCGGTACACTCCACTTTCACATCAGCTCATTTCAACATGGTTTCAGTGGAATGATATCCTACCTCATAAACCTGCCTATGAGGAACGAAAATTGGTCAAAGGACATGAGTGAAGGACATTCGGTAGATGTCATTTACCTTGACTTCAGCAAGGTGTTCGATGGCGTTATACATAAATGCCTCGTTCAAAAGTTGTCAGACGTAAGAATAAGAGATCTCCTGAACTGGATTCAAGATTTATTAAACGGTCGCAGACGAAAGGTTACTGCAGACGTTTACTGCTCAGAATGGGCACCTGTTGAATGTAGAGTCCCATAAGTGTCAATTCTTGGGTGTTCCACACTTCGGGGTTGGGTATGACTGGCTGACGACGGCTAATAAGCCAGAAATGGCCATTCCAGTCTCCCTTGACTTTGTCGGTAATAACATTCTGCCTATATCATGCGCCGCTGTGCGGCTGCTGATTGGGCTCGAGAGAGAGCCCGTAAGGCACAACGGGACGAATGAGTACCGTAGAAACCATAGGTGAGCGCCCCTCTACCTACTATTCAGTCGTTAAGAGGACTTGATCTGGATGTCAATTGGAATGGCCCCAAACATTAATCTCAGACGACACGATTACCAGCTTAAAAAGGAATTTTGTCACAGCAATCAACGCTACTCCTCTTTCTGGCAGTCATTCACCAATGGAACTCGTTACCGACGTGTGTTGTAAATCCCCCTACCATGAGTGGATTCGAGATACTTGGATAATCACCTATTGAAAGGCAACCTCAGCTTCCCAAACCCCACCCAGTGAATTACTGAAATGACTACAGACATACCACTCAAATGATTTCAGCAGATCCTTTTATGTACATTGAGCCGACCCAGATGAAAATTTCACAGCGCGAATCAGGTGAACGCGTTTGTCGCCGTTATTTCGCAAATGACACAATTTCCTCACGTCTAGGCTACACCATTAGTTTTATGCATTCTGCATGCTAAAGCAACATGCGGAGATTCCTGCAACTTAACTACTTTTTATGCACACCTGCGCCCTTCAAATGGAGTTTTAAGGGTTTCTGTCATCTACACCAAATATACTGACTGAAACAACCGACAGGCGTTTTAGGCCTTCTCCAACACGTAGGCCCCCCTTTCGGTTTGGAACTTGGAAGCACCGTTGCCCCCCTACTTCCTATATTGTGTCTTGACTCATTCTCCCGAACGACTCCAAATCATCGACAGGTCCGTCGACTGGGTTGGTTGTCCTGAACGGCTGGTCGGCAGATTCAGCTGCGGATCAGTCAACTGGCGGGTTAGTTACGCCCGCCAGGGCGATTTGAAAGGGTGGCGTGCTCGGAGCGGGAAAATTCCACACACAATCGGTTCCAAAAAATCTATCCGGGATTAAAATTTGACAACCCAAGACTTCAATGATTACCCTCGAGTTACAGTTACAGGCGGTGAATCAGACAGTGTCACGAGCCCCATTCATGTGGCATGATCATAGTTTCGCAGACGGAAATTGGACAAGCTTGGAGTAAAACGGCCGGCCCCGAATTGCATAAAAGCGTTTTTGTATCCAGTTGGTCAACGCTTGGGATTCTCCACACCCGCCTCGTAAGTGCTTCCACATCTGGTCCCTGTCGACATTCCTCTTCCCCCTTTCTGTAACCGACTTCCAAACGCGACCGACGTTCTTTTAATTAACTAGTTTTTGCATTCTGACCTTCAGCTGGGAATTCGATTTGCTCGGACGGGCACAAAGGAATTCTTTGTGTAGGGTATCCATTGTTGAGTACTGTAGAATTCTTGGTAAACTGAGTCACGAGTATATACATCGAAATCCGTTTTGGCTTATACGCGTGACTCAATTTACCCAGAATTCTACAAGCATTGGAGCTAAGCACTCTCAAAGACGGCAAGATAGGAGGGTAATATTTACACCTACTGAACTAGGAGTCCAGCAAAAATAGCTTCATCATACCAACCAAAAGAGGTCAGTGGTGCGGTCAACGACCAATAAAGCAACATACTGACTGACAGTACGACACGTGAGTGCTCAAAGGCAGGGGGAGACTAGTCGGTCTGAATCAGACGAAATGCAGACAGCGTTTCTAATCGTTCAAGGTTGGAAGCCCATTCCCTCTCTCTTTCCCTGTTCAAAGTACATCTAGCGAAGGAATTGTCGCGAGGCAAAAATAAGAATAGCTGATGAACAACATACTGCTGATTCGAAACGCTAAAAAAACATCAGAAGAAAGAGAGGGAGGATAGGGAGAGGAGACAGCGGTCCAGTCTAAGTCATTTTGAGAAGGGGACTTGAATCCGTCCATTGCAGGCCGCGTCGACGAAGAATTTCTACAAAGGGCAAAGAGGAACAGACCACACTTATTCGGCACTAAAGCGTTTCAGACCTAGGTAGGATCTGCGTCCACACACTAGCCAGGTTGATAAAAATGAACAGACGTCATCTGTTGCCTTATCAAAACGGACTCCACGGCAATTAGACTGCGGAAAAGCAATAGCCTGACAGGACTGTTACAAAATTTACTCTGCGTGGGCTTCAGTGGAAAACTATTCGGGGTAATGTTGCATGCAGCGACGCCTACGCAGTGTTTGAAACGACCAACAATCCCCCAGCCGCAAGAGACGGGGAGAAGGGTGTGCAGGCGACCTGTGTGTAAACGGGCTTCTAACAAGAGCGACTAGGAATGGCTCACCTCACCCTCCACAGCCACTGTGTTCCAGGAGCAAAGCAAGGACAAAATGACCACAAATGGGGGTGGGCGCGACGGATGTCAAAGTTCAACAGGCCGTCTACGCGGGCCACACACAAGACCCGATCCACGGCTCTTACGAGCAACACTAGGTAATGAGAAGGGAGGCCTAGGATCTCGCATGCGTGAAGGGAGCCACTGCGTCCTGTCTCCCAGTCTATAGTAGAATCGAGCTATCCTGTCGTCAGGGGACCTCAAAAGACACGACTTGTAGCGTACTATGATAGATGAAAGACCGTTGGACTGAAAGAACCAAATCAATAAGAAGGACGCCTCACTTCGAGCGCCACTGGTCTGCCAAAGTCTGTCGGTCGACTGGATTATGCGGTCTAGATGGCATGTTTGATGCAAATTCTGGCACAACTGCAATTCTGGGCAACTGCAATGTCGAGGAGGTATTACAAGAGTACGACAACAGGGCGACGGCGCCAAGGCTGTCGCCAATCTCGAAATGCTAAATGCTATGGACATCGCCGACACCACCAGTAACGCAAGTCCAGAAACCCAAATACAGCAGCATGGCTCGAATGGTAATTTCCCAGTCAGTCATTTTACGTTGCATAACCAGCTGCTCAGTTAGAGGCCAACAACAACAATTAACGATGAAAAGGGCATGCGGGATAGCCACATAATTTTGTGCTCGGAAGGGCATTGCAAGGTCTCTGAAGAACAGTGTGAATGCTTTCGGCATTCCAAATCTAGACACCAAAAATGAGGCAGTCTAAACCCTCACGGCGAGGAAAACAGTCGGACAACTAGTAGTTGAAGCTGGCTGACTGCCAAGTCAGGTCAGGAGTTGGGAGACGTGGAAAGGGCTTTAGTGTACCTTTACTTGGTTGCTTGAATCAACCAGATCCAGGCCAAGACCCCGAATACTCAATATAGCGTCAGAAAGGCCCAACGTCGAGGACAAACGTCTCAGCCTCGTCAACGGTGAACGAGATGGAGGTTCGAGAGTGCCGAGGGTCGCATCGGTAGAAAAAAGGGCCTGAATAAACTCCACAAACGCTGCCATAGGAACAACAGAGCGTTGTCGGTCGGAGGTGTAGGCCCGCAAAAACCGAGGAGAGGCTGAGATAAAATTGGATTAATTAATTTATACTTGTTTAAATTCAGCAAAAATATTTTGCGCGACAAAATTGAGGGTAGAGAATAAGGACAAAATGGGTGAGCACGCTTATGTCGGGCAGATAGCCAAATGGATGCTGAAGTCCTACCGATATCAGCCCCCTCACTGAGAGCCTCATTGAGATATTTTGCAAGGCTGGCCGCATCTCCAAAACCCATGTTAACACCCTGGCCACTCAGCGGGAGGATTCTGTGGGCAGCATCTCTAAAAAAGGAAATAAAGAGTGTTCGAGAGTCCACTACATGTGAGCAAGACTTTTGCCACAGAGTACGATGTACCCCACTAAAGCTACACGGGGGGCGTGGTAGAAAGTCGAATGACTGAAGAGAAGCGGAAAACACGCGCGAGTGTTAGGATCGACACTGAGGATTTTCGGTGGTATGAAAGATTCGCTGGACTTGGGGAGGGCAAACTCGACGGCTGCAACTATGGACGCCACGAGTCCAGAGGGACGGTGAGCCGGTTCATTCTGAAAGTAAATATGACATTCTACTAGCAGATTAATAGTAGCAGTTTTAAAATGACAGTGGGTTTGACGAGGCTTATGAAGGAAAACAAGTAGGACAAAAAAGGTCTTTGAGGCTGAAAGTGACAAAAGAGACTCACCAGAGATCGATTCAATTCATTCACAAAGGTCTTGTCATCAAGAGCCATCAGACGCTTGGCCTCGGCCTTAGTCGTACTCCAAGTGGTTGAACATTTTCTGGGTCCAAGCTACGATAAAACGGAAGTAGATAAATATGGTGGAGGAACGTTCCCCGATCAGGTTACGGGACGTGGTAGTCCTGCAGTGCCTCGGGACTCAATTTAGGACCCACGTAAGCAGTCGCATGGCGACTACCGGCGTATGCAGGTAGTGGGCTACCGACAAATAATTTGATAAAATTCATAAACTCTAGACCGAACTTTGGACCTAAAATAGACCCCAGACAGCCAATGGCTAATGCTGATACCCTCCAGAAGAGGGGGTCAAAAAGGGATTAATAAAAACAAAAATAACGCGTTGCGACTAGTGTCGAGAAAAGGGTTTTGCGGATCACAAGCGTAAATGCGTACGCAAAGAAAAACAACACGTCAAGCTTACCGGCAGGAGAGCGATTGGACCGCTGTCGGTAAAACGTTGCCAGGCTATTGTAGGATCGTAGTCCTAAACGGAGGCCAAACCGGGAAACAATATTAAATTCATCCTCACAAACAACGTGACAAGGGGCATACGAAATACAATCGAGTGCGGCAAGTGAAACAACATTCCCTTCCTCCAAATAATATGACAAACATGCAGGACTAACGTGAACATATGACATAGTTGTTTACTGCTATGGCGGTGCACGGGCCTTACGATTTTAGTGACCTATTGAACGATATTTAGTGGAATGATACACCGACAACGCTGTTGAGCAATCAATTTTCAGAACAGCTTCCGCGAGTGAAAGGGAAAGCGCTGAGGTAAACGGAAGACTGTACACACTTTAACGATAGAAATTCTGAAGAACCTACATCCGGCAAATTCAAGTTGCCTACAATGGCCACTTGATCGTGTTCCCACCCGACCGTGTGGATGCCTGAAACATTCCTGACGGTTGATCGAAAACCATCCGCACCAACCTGAAGAGGAAAGCAGTTACATGTTAAAAATGCAGTAGAATCAAAAACGGATAACAGACCAAGAAAAAGCCCACGTACCAGCAGCGAAGCTTCTATAGGAATAGCGGCACCGGAGGAAGATGTACGGTCACGAACTCGGAGGCGTGGCATATCATCCGCTTCATAGGATTTCGGCAGTTGAATGTCCTCTACAACTACGTTGTGCATCACTTCCATGGAACCAGGGTATGCCTCTGTGCCAGACTGTTTGACAGCCTCGTCAACGACAGCTCCCAGAGCGGAGATAATAAGGTCATTTTCGACTATGCAACCCATGTCGTCGTCTGGGTTGGACCTTTCCAATAAGAGCTTTGCGTTAGATCCCACTTCGTAGATCTGCAGGAGAAATGAGCACGTTCACAATTGTCTCGTGCAATGGAACTGTAGCTGAAAGGGTTATTTATGGGAATACGGAGTATATGGCTGGGTAAATTGTCAGAAATGGAGGCCTCGGTTGGGTTCAAACCCACAACGCAAGTTCGAACTGCAAGTTAAAAATGGAACCAGACAAAAACTATGGAAGTCGTCCCAAAATAATCATGTCTATATGTTTTCTTTAAATTTCAAAAACTTCGAAGTGAGAAGAGCTTGCTCAGACGAAAATGGCCGGCGTGGTCAAGAGGAATAATAAACGCTTCGTCAAAATAAAGTAGCAATTTCGATGACAATGGCAAAGTTACTGGAACGCGAATAGGAGTCTCAACTCATAAACAAGCACATAAATTAAAAGTGTGGATTCCCTCGAGTGGCTGAGATATGACGAGAAGTACTCGGTAAAAAAAGTATTTTCGGTGCAGGGAAATTAATGTATATTGGTTACCGGTTAGGTTATCCAATAATTAATCCAAAATGACTAGGTGTGGTCTTTCAAAAACCCAAACGTAAAAGTGACAATGTCCCTACCTTCATTCTCTTTACCGGCTGAAATCGGTTATCCTGGATGGCTTTCCACGCACCAATATCTAGACATAAACTGGCAATGATAAGGGTACCTTTGAACAATCTGCGTGTGATGGGTGTGAGAGCAACAACACGATTTCTATAATTCTGTTCCATTTTGTACTGAGTCTTAGGGCCAGATTCCAGAAGAAGAAGTCGTTTACTTCGGAGAAAAGGATGGGCAGCTATAAAAATAATCATGAAAATGGACATTACAAGCCATTGCAGCGAAACCAAATCCCACCATTCCACCACCAACTACGACTACATCGTAACGTTTTGAGGGACTTCCAGATGAGAGTTTACGGAGGAAATGCGTCATACATCCGCCAAACTGCTCTTTCGCGACCAGATTCATCGTTGTGGCGACGTGGGCTAATATCCACACTGCTCTCAACCTAAATTTCCAACAGGTTCCAAGATTTTCAAGTTTGGGACATGTTTGAGGTTTAATTTCTGAATGTCGTTGCTAAGACGAGTGACATGATCGAAAATGCTAGGACCTTGGGATCCATCACGGCTCTTCCGCCAGAACGGGCGCGAGTACGTCAGCCAGATTTATTATTTGATTGTAGAGAGCGAGTGTAGATAGGGTAGCGTACAAAGTAACGTCCAACCGTAGTGGAGATGTGAGACAATGATTTAAGTAACTAAGTCCGTAAATATTTAGAAAACCAAAATCCCGAACGTGGACGAAGGAGACAGAGGCAACAAACATAATACTAAAAAGTATGCGGTGAATGGCATCATCTTCCTATCTCGCGTGAACCAGGCGGGAAGACGTGCTTGATGAAATCGTGTCATCAGGCTTTTGCACTCACCGCATCAATAGTCTCTTCTTTAGGAATATTTCAGCCGGATTGTCGATTGGTCGGCATCTAAATCTCAAGCAGGCGTGTCTAACCGTATTAGCATCGATATTACTCTTCGCATGGCAGCTAACTATCCTCACCAGAAATTAAGCCAAAACTTGGCGGCCTCCATTTGGTTGATGTGCTCGCGCAATAACAACAGAAATATTACATGGCAAATTAATTTTCTCAACATTAATTATCTCTATTGTAAGTAGGTGATCCGTTTAAATCTCCCCGATTACTGTTTGTATATATGAGATTTCATACGAGAAACATATTCGTCCTCAGCTTACTAGTTTTACATCAAATGAGTTAGAAAAAACATTTTACTGATCAACTGTTCCATCCAACCGCAGATGTGTTAAAGCCTCGGATGATCAGTACGCTTGGTTGTTAGACCAACCCTTTAATTAAATTATCCATACACTCATCGGCATAGGAAGTATAAATGGGGGGTGTCTCTACCGTCTGGAAATCCGAATTTCACCTTTTAAGACCTTTTTTCCTCAGCCAAGTCGTTTAACAGTTGTTTGCGCAATTAGTTTTACGTTTTGATTCGGTAATTCCGATTGTTGCGTAGGTCGTTAGTCCGTCTCGACGAAAGTATTGATGCCGCTAGATGACACTTTTAACGTAACGCCTGTAATCACTGAGCACCGGGCTGGTTGACCTGTCGCTTGTGATCGGGAATATCAATTATGACAGATGGGTGCTCACCGATCAGTTTACGGAACGTGCTCGTTCATATGTGCTTTGGAGCTAATACTAGAACCTTCGCAGGCAGTCGCATAGCGACTAGTAGAAGAGGTGAATAAAATTATACCGACAAAACCGACAGGACAACGGGCCCCTGGCTCAATGGTAGGGTGTCCAACACTATTACCAGAGATCTCGGGTTCGAATTTCAAGTGACCCTATTTGTGTACAATGTTTTCACAGATTCGCACTCAAAATAATGTTGCAGAGCACGAATCTGCAAAAGCATCGCACGTACTGCCTCTGGCACGTACTGTTAAATGTCGTCGGTTCTATTCTGTAAATGCAATTGCTATTTGGAATAAACTACCAATGAGTGTGAAAACTCTGTAAAATTATCCTTTATTTAAGAGAACTATTACTCGATTTTTGCATTCAGAAAAGCTCCCACAAATTTTGGGTGCTGAATCTACCGATCGACTGTACCGTAGCGATGGCGTTTGTGGTCTCTGAACAATATGGCCGGTCTCACCAGCTGTTCCTCAACGCCTCTAATTTGACTACCCCAACTTCATGAAAGGAATTTGACGTCCAATGATCTCCGATACCGCGTAACCCCCTCATTCCCCTTCATGACGGTCGAAAATCTACCGCCAGCAGTTTTTTTCTCCTGAACCCTTCAAACCATAAAAACCATCATCAACTATATTTTTATTCTTCAGGAGTTTTTTTCACTGCTGGTCGGATTTGTGTTTAATCGCTTCCCTTGACAATGCCTGTAAACTGGCATTTAATAAATTTAATTAAATTAAATAGGGTCATCAAGGGATCTGCCTCTAACCCTTCAAATACATACCTACTTGATCCACAGTTATGGTTGGGTATGACTGTCTGATTTCGGCCAATAAGCCAGAAATGTCCATTCTGGCCCCCCATGTCTTTGTCGGCACCATGTCATTTACTTTTACTACAAGTCGCTGTGTGACTGCCTGAGAGGGTTCTGGTGTGAGCATCAAGGCACAACGTAACAAACACATTCAGTAACCGGATCAGTGAATGCCCACCTATCATTATAACTGTATATATAAATATATATGTTGAAATGAGATAGGCTCCGTGGGACAACAGGCCATATCACCTAAATTTACGACGTAAGTTCCCCAGGCAATCGTCAGAGGCAAACGGGGAGCAAATGCAAAAGCAAGAAACAGTTGGCGTCACAAATAAATAAATATGATTAAAGTTTATTAAATGCCAGTTTGCAAGCAATGACAAGGGAAGCGATTAAACACAAATCCGACCAGCAGTGAAAAAAACCTTCTGAGATTAAGGCTTAAAAATATAGTTGACGGCGGTTTTTGTGGTTTGGAGGGCTCAGGAGAAAAAACTGCCGGCGGTGGGAGAATATCGACCGTCAAGAAGGGGGGAGGTTGCACGGTATCGGAGATTATCGGACGTCAAACTCCTTTCATGAAGTTGGGGATAGTCAAAGTAGAGGCGTTGAGGAACAGCTGGTGAGACCGGCCATAGTGTTCAGAGACCAAAAACGCCATCGCTACGGTACAGTCGATCGGTAGATTCAGCACCCAAAATTTGTGGGAGCTTTTCTGAATGCAAAAATCGAGTAATAGTTCTCTTAAATAAAGGATAATTTTGCAGAGTTTTCACACTCATGGGTAGTTTATTCCAAATAGCAATTGCCTTTACAGAATAGAACCGACGATATTTAACAGTACGTGCCAGGGGCAGAAATAAGAAGACCTCACGGTGACTGTTACGTCGTGGGTGGATATGATGTCTTAAAGAGGTGAGTGGGTTAAATGTGTGATTATATAAGAGTTGAAATAGCAAAAATAGTCCCTTTTGTAATTTACGGAACCATAAAGGATCGAGGCCTGAAAGCCGGCAACGTTCCTGGTAAGACAAATGTCGGTGTTCCGGGGTTAAAATTCTCTTGGTAAAAAAGTGTTGAACGGATTCTATTTACTTCCGCTCAGTAGCACGCATGATGCTAAATGAAAACGAACAGTATTCCAGACAAGGTCTAACATACATGTTAAAAAGGCGCATGCTAATGTCCCTAGTTTTAAAATTTCGGAGGATAAACCCGGTCGTTCTACGTGCTTTGGAGACTATCAAGGCACAGTGCTCCGAGAGATTGAGACTCTTGGAGTATGATACGCCCAAATCCTTTATAACCCTGGCACACTTATTGCGTGACCTTCAATACTTAGTTGAGGTTGGCGGTCGTCGCCAACCACCATGACTGAGTACTTATGCCAAGAAAGAGAAAGGCGCCATGTGCGGCACCACTGGGCGAAAGCCTGTTGATCGCTCTTTAGGAGCTCAAGCACGATGTCATGTTCTGCCGGCAAGAGCAGTATGAAATATCGAGAGCAAGATTAAATATTCGGCATAAGATGGGTGGGAGGATCGTGTTTGCATCGGCTTTTAAAATGCTTACTGGGACACCATCAGGGCCTGGACTATAAGATTGACGAAAACGCCGAATCGCAACAGTCACATCCCACAGAGTGAAAGTTATAGTTTCTAGAACTGCCCCGGTCAATGGCCGGATGGTCGGAAGCGGAGTGGTCGAGTCTTCAATGAACGTTTTGGACAGGAAATCATTGAAGCTATCCACGGTTAACTGCGCATCAACTATGGGGTTTCCCAGATCGTCTCGAAGGATGGGATGCTGCGTCTTTCTCTGAGTTTGTATTTTTCTAGAGAAAAGTTTCGAGACACATAACGAATGGTTTTCAGTAAAGTGGACCTCTTCGGCTAGCTGTTTTTCTTCAGGCAATCTCTTAACTTGATCAAAAATATCACAAATCAAGGACAGAACAGAAACATCGTTCTGCAGATGGAAACGACGATAAAGTCTGCGCAATCTGCGACGAAAGGGTAAGGGTAGGAAAATCTCATCCCAACATTAATAATTTTCTTACGGGGGACAAAACGAGAAATAATCGGACCCAAAATTTCGTACAGTTTTGCAGTGCAAACATTTACATCCGAACTAAGGAAGAAATCAGTCCAGTCGCAGGAATTACGGTGTGTTAATAGTTCGGTTGAGTGAGTTGATCGGAAATTGTGGAAAAAGCTATACTTTGGGGACAACGTTTTGTCAGCCTCGAATTCCAACGTTGAAACAACTATGTCGTGGTCTGAGCCCCCCAGTGGACCTAGGGATGACACCGACGATGGCATGCAGCCTCTACAGAAAACTAGGTTAAGTAAGCTTGAGCCTCGGGTGGGAAAATCGACAACCTGTTAACACATCCCAACATCTACAGCCTCAACAACGTCATCGAACCTTCTTGGGTCTGAAGGCGGAGACCAGCGGGCTTCAGGGCGATAGACGCATCCAACGAGTAAGGAGGACTTATTTTTTAGTGCAACCTGGAGCCAGCAGCT